GAGCTAGAGCTAAGATATTTAGCATGAAACATGTTCTGATGGGTGTCTACCAAGTTTGTTCAAATAAAAGCCCTGGGGTCAAAATTGGCCCCGCCCCAGGGGGTCATTGATATTCCTGATATGTGTATAGCAAAAACTTAAAAAATCTTTTTTGAGAAAACCCAAATAGCTTGAGTTTAGATATTAAGCATGAAACATCTTCTAGTGAATGTCTACAAAGTTTGTTCAAATAAAAGCCCTGGGGTCAAAATTGGCACTGCCCCGGGGGTCATTGATTTTCCTTATATGTGTATAGCAAAAACTTAAAAAATCTTCTTTGAAAAAACCCAAATAGCTAGAGTTAAGATATTAAGCATGAAACATCTTTTAGTGAGTGTCTACAAAGTTTGTTCAAATAAAAGACCTGGGGTCAAAATTGACCCCGCCCTGGAGGTCATTGATTTTCTTTATATGTGTATAGGGGGGGCTATATACAGGTGAGCGACCTCAAGGCCATCATGGCCCTCTTGTATTTATTTCTGCTTAAACTTATGCAATAAAATTTACAAACAAAAGATTGAATAAAACAACTTTTTTATGTCCAAATGTGGAAAAAAACAGTCTTATAACATTAATTTTGATTCTGATACATACATGGATCTTCACTTTCTAGATCAAATATAATGAATTTTATATGCAATCTGAAAAAATATAACAGTTCATAATTTTTTCTGAGCCTTTCTGGTCTAATACAACAAGAAAAATAAGAGCTAATTGTTAATAAGGAACAAATTATGTCAGTGGTATTAACATTTGCTTTGTAAACAACAAAACACAACGCTGAATTTCGAACCTGGAATATCTTTTTAGCTCACCTGAGCATGCTCAGGGTGAGCTTTTAGGATCGATGATTGTCCGTCGTCCGTCCGTTCACATTTTGTTGTTAACACTCTAGCGGTCGCATTTTTGCCTCAATCATCATCAAACTTGGTCAGGATGCTTATCTAGTTGATAGCTCGGATGAGTTCGAACATGGGTCATCTCGGATGAAAAACTAGGTCACAAGAGCTAAAAATAGAAAAACCTTGTTAACACTCTAGAGGTCACATTTTTGCCTCAATCATCATCAAACTTGGTCAGGATGTTTGTCTAGGTGATAGCTCGGATGAGTTCGAACATGGGTCATCTCGGATGAAAAAGTAGGTCACCGGAGCTAAAAATAGAAAAACCTTGTTAACACTCCAGCGGTCACATTTTTGCCTCAATCATCATCAAACTTGGTCAGGATGCTTATCTAGTTGATAGCTAGGATGAGTTCGAACATGGGTCATCTCGGATGAAAAACTAGGTCACAAGAGCTAAAAATAGAAAAACCTTGTTAACACTCTAGAGGTCACATTTTTGCCTCAATTATCATCAAACTTGGTCAGGATGTTTGTCTAGGTGATAGCTCGGATGAGTTCGAACATGGGTCATCTCGGATGAAAAAGTAGGTCACCGGAGCTAAAAATAGAAAAACCTTATTAACACTCCAGCGGTCACATTTTTGCCTCAATCATCATCAAACTTGGTCAGGATGCTTATCTAGTTGATAGCTAGGATGAGTTCGAACATGGGTCATCTCAGATGAAAAACTAGGTCACAAGAGCTAAAAATAGAAAAACCTTGTTAACACTCTAGAGGTCACATTTTTGCCTCAATTATCATCAAACTTGGTCAGGATGTTTGTCCAGGTGATAGCTCGGATGAGTTCGAACATGGGTCATCTCGGATGAAAAAGTAGGTCACCGAAGCTAAAAATAGAAAAACCTTGTTAACACTCCAGCGGTCACATTTTTGCCTCAATCATCATCAAACTTGGTCAGGATGCTTATCTAGTTGATAGCTAGGATGAGTTCGAACATGGGTCATCTCGGATGAAAAACTAGGTCACAACAGCTAAAAATAGAAAAACCTTGTTAACACTCTAGAGGTCACATTTTTGCCTCAATCATCATCAAACTTGGTCAGGATGTTTGTCTAGGTGATAGCATGGATGAGTTCGAACATGGGTCATCTCGGATGAAAAAGTAGGTCACTGGAGCTAAAAATAGAAAAACCTTGTTAACACTCTAGCGGTCACATTTTGGCAACAATCATCATCAAACTTTGTCAGGAAGCTTGTCTAGGTGATAGCTCGGATGAGTTCGAACATGGGTCATCTCTGATGAAAAAGTAGGTCACTGGAGCTAAAAATAGAAAAACCTTGTTAACACTCTAGCGGTCACATTTTTGCATCAATCATCATCAAACTTTGTCAGGATGCTTGTCTAGGTGATAGCTTGGATGAGTTCGAACATGGGTCATCTCGGATGAAAAGTAGGTCACCGGAGTTAAAAATAGAAAAACCTTGTTAACACTTCAGCGGTCACATTTTTGCCTCAATCATCATCAAACTTGGTCAGGATGCTTATCTATTTGATAGCTGGGATGAGTTCGAACATTTGTCATCTCGGATGAAAAACTAGGTCACAAGAGCTAAAAATAGAAAAACCTTGTTAACACTCTAGCGGTCACAATTTTGCCTCAATCATCATCAAACTTGGTCAGGATGTTTGTCTAGTTGATAGCTTGGATGAGTTCAAACATTGGTCATCTCGGATGAAAAACTAGGTCACAGGAGCTAAAAATAGAAAAATCTTGTTAACACTCTAGTGGCTATTGTTTTGATCCAAATATCCTGTATATTGGTCTGAAAGTTTGTTTTGATGATTACTAGGTCAAGTTTGAATATGGGTCATCTTGGATGAAAAACTAGGTCACACAGCCCAAATATTGAAAAACCTTGTTAACATTCTAGTGGTCACATTTTCGACTCAATTATCATCAAACTTGGTCAGGATGCTTGTCTAGGTAATTGCTCGGATGAGTTCGATATCGCATGTGAAACTAGGTCACCGGAGCTAAAAATAGAAAAATCTTGTTAACACTCTAGTTGCTACTGTTTTGCTCCAAGTATCCTGGAAATTGGTCTGAAAGTTTGTTTTGATGATTTCTAGGTCAAGTTTGAATATGGGTCACCTGGGTAAAAAACTAGGTCACACTGCTCAAATATGGATAATCCTTGTTAACACTGTAGTGGTCACATTTTTGACTCACCTGTCATGAGACTTGGTCAGAATGCTTGTCTAGGTAATTGTTTGGATGAGTTTGATGGGTCAGGTGAGCGATCTAGGGCCATCATGGCCCTCTTGTTTAATGTTTCACTCTGTTGATTCGTAGTGGATGACCTTTTCCCACCTAAGATATTCACATATTGGAATCAAAGTATTGGTCACTTTCTGAGATAGAACATAATGAAATTGGTATAACCTTTCTCAAAATTAGAGATATAATGTTTTAAGTCATTTGTTAATGTAGGTCTCTTCAACAGCTTTCCAATGCTATAAATATCCATAGGAACTCGAGAACGGGACCGCAGATTGCGGCGTATATTTTCGATCGTGTAACGGTTTTTAAAAACGTTTCTGCTACATCTAAATATCTTTTAGTATTATCCGAGTGTATGGACTCAAAAAATATATTATCAATTGAACCCAATCTGTCTCTTTTAAAACTGGTCAAATTTTACGATATTATAAAAAAAGACAAGGAGTGACATCCGCCATTTGCCGCAACGTTTTCGGCATGAGTTTTTCCCCTTTGGCTACAATTGATTACTATTTTTTCAGAATTTTGTTCCCGTTATTTTTGTCAACTATCAGGTATCGTCCGGATATAACGTTAACGGTTTATTGTTTACACGTGTTGACATGTATAGGCGGCATTATAAGGGGCGTATTCGTGTATTGATTTGTTAAAATGGAGAAAACAGACACTTTAGTAATATGGTCCAACTGATTTTGCCTAACTGAAAAAAGGAATATTAAAACATGATCCATAGATAAATATTTTAGGCACTCATCTCGTATTCATTACTAGAAAAATTAAAACAAAAATCAAGCATATCAAGGGGGATAACTTACGCCGAACGTTGCGGCAAATGGCGGATGTCACTCCTTTTCTTTTTTCAATATACCGTAAATATGACTGATTTTTAAATTAGCAGATTATATTAAATTGAGATTAGATAATTAAAGACCACCCGCTCGCATAATATGAAAAGATATTCAAAGGTCGGACAAACTATATGTAAAGCCGGTAAGGATTCGGATTTATGCGCCGCAATATGCGGTCCTGTTCCAGAGTTCCTATGTAAATATCTCAATTTTTCAAAAAATTGAAGATAGAACATTTTGGAATTGACGCAACGAAAATTTTCTAAGCTCTGTTTAAAACCTGTTTAGTTTGCCTTAAACTTGCTAAATTTGTGTGATGGATATAAAATGGAACAGTGTGTTCAGTGTGTAATAGATTTCTGAGTACAAAAATGAGTCATTGTCAATCTGCATGAATATGTAGGCCCACATCATAGGCTTGCTACAGGAAGCTACATGGTTTCTGCTTCACCAGATTTAAGATAATTCTAATAGGTTAACCTTGAATAATCTTGATAAATTTGTACCATTGATTTACCCTGCTTTGACTTTGGGAGTGTATATTATTGAAAGTTTATGGGATTTCAGTATTAATATACACAAACTGAGCCATTATAAAAATATGGAGCCTCCATACAGAGTAAATGGATGTACAGACAGGTCTGTCTGTATACTGGTGGCAGAGGTTCAGGTCAGACAGGTCTGTCTGTATACTGGTGGCAAAGGCTCAGGTCAGATGGGTCTGTCTGTATACTGGTGGCAGACAGGTCTGTCTGTATACTGGTGGCAGAAGCTCAGGTCAAACGGGTCTGTCTGTATACTGGTAGCAGAATCTGCTGTAGATAATGATTAAAGTTTTCGTATCACATAAGTTTCAAATGGAATTTAAATGGTATAAACAAATACTTAATGTTGAGACAAATAATAAGAGATTGATGCTCAGATTTAGATTATTAAGTAACTACCAATTATTTTAAATATTGTTTTAATATTTTTCTTTCACAGACAATTCTTGACCTTCAAACAGCTCAGATGATACTGTAGAATGCTCCATGGAGTACTGTTTACCGATTACCCTTTACCAGAAGAAGGTAATAACAATGTTGTTTTTTTTTTATCTTACTTAGTACCTTTAACCTGCAGAATTTTTGTATGCTGGATTTGTCCTACTGTCAATATCAAATTTAACTACCAACATTTATGATAGTGGTCAGACTGTATGGCACTAAATAAGAACTTTCGCTTTATGTATATGCAGTATTTGGATAGAGTGGAAGTGGGTGCGTGAGCATGCGCTTTGCCATTATCTCAGTTACCATTCACGTTTTCAACGTGGTTGCTACGAAGCGTCATGTGTCTGGCTGCTGCCACACATAGTGTACATGGCTTTTACAACTAGTATGTCAGTCAAACAAATCAAAATAACACACATAAACTACACATAGTTGTTATGCCACCGCAGCATCTGCGATGCGGTGGCATATAGCGATTCACCTGTGTGTGTGTTTGTGTGTGTGTGTTATATAGGTTATATTATAGTGAACTTAAAAAATCTTCTTGTGAAAAACCACCAGTCCAATTTCAACCAAACTTGGCAGGAATGTTCCTTGGGTGAAGGGCTTCCAAAGTTGTTAAAAGAATTTCATTCCATGCAGAAATCTGGCAACCAAAAGGAATTATAAGAATAAATTTAAAAAATCTTCTTGTAAAGACCCAAAAGGCCTACAGCTTAGATATTTTGCATAAGGCGTTGTCTGGTATACCTCTAACAAGATTGTTCAAATTATAGCCCTGGGGTCAAAATTGGCCCCGCCCCGGGGGTCATTGATTTTCACTATATGTACATATAGTAAAAACTTAAAATACCTTCTTGTAAAAACCCAAAAGGCCTAGAGCTTAGATATTTTGCATAAGGCATTATCTGGTAGACCCTTACGAAGATTGTTCAAATTATAGCCCTTGGGTCACATTCGGCCCCGCCCTGGGGTCATTGATTTTCGCTATATGTACATATAGTAAAAACTTAAAACACCTTTGTGTAAAGACCCAAAAGGCCTAGAGCTTAGATATTTGCGTAAGGCATTGTCTGGTAGACCTCTACCCAGATTGTTCAAATTATAGCCCTGGGGTCAAAATCGGCCCCGCCCCAGGGGTCATTGGTTTTCCTTATATGTATATAGTAAAAACTTAAAAAAAATTCTTCTAGCAATTCACAAATGCTAGAGGTTAGATAATTTGCATGAAACATTGTGTTCAAAACCTCTAGCAAGATTGTTCAAATTATAGCCCTGGGGTCAAAATTGCCCTCGCCCTGGGGGTCATTGATTTCAATATATACATATAGTCAAAAAATAAAAAAATCTTATTGTCTCTAGGTACAAGGCTTAGAGCTTTATTATTGTTAAATAACATCATCTAAAAGGTACTCTATCAAAGTTGTTCAAATTTTGCCTCTTGTGTCAAAATTAGCCCCGCCCCTTGGGGCAATAGGTTTATCTTATATGTATATAGTAAAAACTTAAAAAATCATCTTCTCTAAATTTACAAAGGCTAGAGTTAAGATATTTTGCATGAAACATTGTGTAGTGAACCTCTAGCAAGATTGTTCAAATTTAGCCCTGGGGTCAAAATTGGTTCCGCCCCGGGGGTCATTGATTTTCATTCTGTACATATAGTGAAAAAAAAATTTTTGTCTGAAGGTTCAAGGCATAGAGCTTTGATGTTTGATATATAATATCATCTATAGGTCCTCTACCAAAGTTGTTCAAATGTCAAAATTGGCCCTGCCCGGGGGCAGTGATTCTCATTATGTACACATAGTAAAAACAGAAAATAAAACAAATGTTTTCTGAATGGGAGAAAGCTATAGCTTAGATATTTGACTTGAAATGTTGTTTGGTGGACCTGTTTCAAGATTGTTTTTAAACCCTTTGGTCAAAATTATGCCTTGCCCAAGGGGACAGTGACCTACATTCTTGTCCTTTGATGTACAGCAATGACATTTTGACCATGTGCACAGTTTTAGTTGTAAAATTGAACTTTGACCTAGATTTTGATGATGTGACCTACTTTCTTGTCCTTTGATGTACAGCTATGAAATTTGAACCATGCGGTGGCATAGCATTTTTCTCAAATGCAATCTTGTTTTCCATATTAATATTTTGCATTGTCAAACAAATATCTCAGTATTCTTTCTAATTTAAAATATTGTTTACATGTGATGACCGGACGCTGTGTATTTGATTAGTCCAGAAATTCCTTTGTTAACCATCAAAACTCTTTGATTGTCATTTACAAAGTTTTACATAAAATTTTAAGCCTAATTATAGCAATCGGCATGATATGGTCAATTAATTGTGTTGACATGCCGTAAACATCCAAACAAACAAAGCCATCAAAACTCATATATTTACCATAGCAACCATATACATGTATAGATAGAAAATAAAGTATATAAGGTTAATGAAAACAAATTTCAGTTTCTTGACAAAAAATTGAATTAATATTAAATACAAAGTCTTAAGAAAAAGTCCCTTCTTTGATTTCATTTAAAAGGGGAATAATTTGGTGGAATTTTAGACAGGGAAAAATGAGTTATCATTCATAGCTAGGGAATATGGCCGACTGAAATCATGCAAGCAAGTTTGTAAGTGTATGGATGTGCAGACTGAAAGTTAGCTCTTAATGATGGCAACCATTTGCAGTTCTAGCATGTTCAAAATTAAACTGAACCCGGTACATGGGAATCACTTTTTAAAGTAACATTAGTATCAAGCCACTGTATTACAACTAATTGTGGTATACTTCAATTATATTGCAATATATTTTCATGTATATATATTGATATGATTGCAATACATTTATAAGTGACCAAGTTGTTTAATCCGTTGACTTCAAACCACTTGGTACACACCTGCTGTGGGTTTGAATCATGAAAGGGATTTTAATTCTTTCTTGTGAGGAATCTGCCCTGCTAGCTTACAAAAACATCAATGGTTCTACTTAGGTGCCTGTTCCTGCCTGAAATAATGCATTGAAGGTGTGGCCTTCCTTTACCATTAAAGCTTAAAACTAACCATAATGGTGCAATTGAAATATAACCAAACCAATGAAAAAAGGAAAAATAAAACAAACCAATACATTTATCAATCATTATAAAAAGCAATGTTTAATTTGTAAGTTATCTTTAACTCGCACCTTAAATTAAACAAAGTTATACATAAAGTTGTATATGCATGTTTTCAATAATATTAATAGATCATCCCAGAAATAATATAGGGAGTGCTTGTGTTGTTGGTTATTTTCATCCAATGTTTTAAAGACACATTAATCCTCATGGAGAAATCTATTTTCCTTTTGAAAATCTGATTTATATTTTGTTATTACAGATGTCAATCATGTCAACCTTGGACAGACAGCTCACTAAATACTGTAGAGTGATTATAGATGGACACTATTTAGTTGAACAAAAAAAAAGGTAGAAATAAATGTTTATTCATAACAATTTAGACATGTGCACATTTATCACATTTTAAGTCAAGATTGATAATTAATAAGAGATTAATACACGGCAGGAGAGGGCCGGAATGTGATAATCGGCCCGCAAAATGAATAATGGGCCCGAGGGCTTTAGTCCGAGGGCCATTATTCATTCAGGGCCTATTATCACCTTCCGGCCCTACTCTGACGTGTATTAATGTCTTTAATACACTTGGTAATAGTTGCATTTTAAAAAAACAACAACAACAAAGTTCTTTCGTTGAAATTCTTGTCTACACTTCTACTGTTCTGTACAGAGATGTTTACTGTTTGTGTATTCAAAGCAGTAGAATCTAGAAGCAAGTTTTATTTTCATTTTTTTCGGAATGAATTTGTCGTATTATTTCTTCAAATTTCAATAGTAACAAAAATGTGTTTGTACTAAATACGCTTAAGCTCTCATAATAGAAATAAAGCAATTTGTGCTGACAATCTACTTTCACTTTTACAGTTAACTGTTTGATGACGTAAAATATGACGTCAATTATTTATTTTGTTTCAGTTTGTGAACGATCACATGTTCTGCTGGCTGATAACTAGTTCTCGGCCCGGGCTGCAAATTCATAATAGGTCACGTGACACTCATAATCAGTTGAAATCATAGGCAATTTTGTAACTGTATATAGTAATAAGTGTATTAAGTGGTGAAAATGAATAACCAAACTTTAAAGAAGTTATTATAAATAGATTGATAAGTCATTGGAAATATCTTCATTTACTGATCAAATTAGGCCATGGGGATTTAACATGTGTATGTGTTTAAATTGAAATTGCAAAGTGTTAAAATCAATAAAGAAAATAATTTGTTATTTTGTGATCGCATTTCGTCCGGCGTCCGTCCGTCCGGCATCCGTCCGTAAACTTTTGCTTTAAATGACATCTCCTCATAAACCACTGAGCCAATTTCATCCAAACTTCACAGGAATGTTCCTTTGGTGGTCATCTTTAAAAATTGTTCAAAGAATTTAATTCCATGCAGAACTCTGGTTGCCATGGCTACCGAAAGAAAAATCTTTAAATATCTTCTTTTAAACAACCCTAAGAGCTAGAGCTTAGATATTTGGCATGAAACATCTTCTAGTGAGTGTCTACCAAGTTTGTTCAAATAAAAGCCCTGGGGTCAAAATTGGCCCCGCCCCGGGGGGGTCATTGATTTTCCCTGTATGCATATAGTAAAAACTTAAAAAATCTTCTTTTAAAGAACCAAAAGAGCTAGAGCTAAGATATTTGGCATGAAACATCTTGTAGTGAGTGTCTACCAAGTTTGTTCAAATAAAAGCCTTGGGGTCAAAATTTGCCCCGCCCCGGGGGGTCATTGATTTTCCCTATATGCATATAGTAAAAACTTAAAAAATCTTCTTTTAAAGATTTAAAGAACCATAAGAGCTAGAGCTTAGATATTTGGCATGAAACATCTTCCAGTGAACGTCTACCAAGTTTGTTCAAATAAAAGCACTGGGGTCAAAATTGACCCCGCCCAAGGGGGTCATAGATTTTCCCTATATGCATATAGTAAAAACTTAAAAAATCTTCTTTTAAAAAACCCAAAGAGCTAAAGCTAAGATATTTAGCATGAAACATGTTCTAATGGATGTCTACCAAGTTTGTTCAAATAAAAGCCCTGGGGTCAAAACTGGCCCCGCCGGGGGGGGGGGGTTCTTGATTTTCCTTATAATTATGTGTATAGCAAAAACTTAAAAATCTTCTTTGAAAAAACCCAAATAGCTAGAGTTTAGATATTAAGCATGAAACATCTTTAAGTAAATATCTACAAAGTTTGTTCAAATAAAAGCCCGGGGGTCAAAACTGGCCCTGCCCCAGGGGTGTCATAGTTTTTAACTATATGTGTATAGTAAAAACTTTAAAAATCTTCTTTTAAAAAACCCAATGAGCTAGAACTTAGATGTTTAGCATGAAACATCTTCTTATGGGTGTCTACCAAGTCTGTTCAAATAAACAAATAAAAGCCCTTGGGTAAAAATTGGCCCGAGGTGGGGGGGGGCCTATATACAGGTGAGCGACCTCAGGGCCATCATGGCCCTCTTGTTTCTTTTCTTTTTATTTTCTTTTAAACTATTCAATATAAAAAAATTAATTTATTAAACTCAAAATTGAGGCAAATTTGATAATGAAATGCGTTATAAGTTACTAATAAGTTAAAAGTGTATTGAAGGGAAACACCAAAAATTGACAATTAAAGAGGCTCCACTGAGATCAAAAAACCTAAAAACATAAAACATTTATTCGTACATAGATCAAGTGAAGCAGTTAAATTGGAAAAATATGCAAAGGCTAACAAAAGAGTATGCCCGAACTGAAATTGAAAATCCATTTTTTTTTGTGTAATTTGTAGCCCAATTGAGCGAAAAGTGTTGCAACGTTTTGCATTTTGCTCATTAATAATGGATGATTCTAGTATAAGAAGTTGTGATAATGATCTGAAAATTTGCACACTTTAAGGTCTAGGCCTACATCAAATGATTCTTAAATATTGGAAAAATATTTCTAGTCCCGTCAAGCAAAACAACTCAGTGGAATTCCTTAATGCAACTGTTGCAGGAACAAAGCATGAGAGAAATTTAAAATTTATGATATCTTTCCTTTTTGGTGAGGTTTTTCATTTGCATTTATATAAATGTTTAAAAATTATAACACTCTGATAATCTTAATAGATGCTAAAATAAGAAAATGTTTTTCTGATCAGTTTTTATACATTACGTAATTCTCGGTCAGTCTTATTACCAAAAGACTACCTGAAGACTATGCCAAGACACCCAAAGGCTACCAAGACATTTTAACTGACATCTGACATGTACTCTGTGTAAATGAGGATTAATTTTACATTATTTAAGGGAGGTAACTATGTGATTTTTACATGTACACATTGAATTATCTCCCTTCTAAGAAATGAATTTCACATGTACATGCCAACAAGTAATAAACCATATTTCACTGATTATAACTCTGAATGGAATGATAAATAAAAAAACCTGCATTTCTTGTCTGACATTGTTGTACTTGTTTTACTGATTTTAATGTAAGAATATAATTATAAGTATGTTCCTTTTGTGCAAAATAGTTTAAAACAATGAAATAATGCCAGGGTTACTGGTGCAAGTTTGTTTCTGTGACAATGTCATTTTTTGCTTGACATATTTGTTCAAACAGTTATTACAAAATATGTTTGAAATAAAAGATAATTTGTTCGGATCTGTTAAAACTGAATGTCATAATGTATAATGCCATTCTAGCTAAATTTAATATTACCGCATACAAACAAACATATTATTAAATTTAGAAGAATTCCAAAATTACATCAAGTATTTAATTCCAACAAGTTAAGGAGAAGAACATCTAATTTATTTACTTCCAACCTGTCACACTACCTCATGGAGATAATTCCAATAATATCATTGGTTGTACATAGTTTTTCCCCTTAGATTATTTCTGAGGGGGTTGTATTTGATTAAACTTTCCCAATTAACACAATAGATAAGTTACTTTGGGTATCTTGCGGTTAAGTCTTGGGGTGTCTTGGGGTAATTGGACTAACCCCGTAGATGTACATGTTAAACATTTTTTCCCTCTATTGCTTTTAGCTCGACTATACGAAGTATATTGAGAGCTGTCCTACTCGTCCCATCTTCCGCATCCAGATTTCAGATTAAAGTTTTGGTGCAGTAAAATATTTTTCACTATAACTTTGTCATGTATTAAGGTATCAACTTCAAACTTCAAATATATGTTACTTATCATCATCCCAATCTTATGTGACAAGGTTCATAACTCTAGCACCAATATTTTCTAATTTATCTCCCCTTGAATTTAGAATTTTCCTCAAAAAATACTATTTTTTACGGTGACTTCTTTATTTCTTAAGGGATCAACCTCATATTCCAAATATATTTACCTTAGCATCATCCCCATCTTATGTGACAAGGTTCATAACTCTAGCACCAATATTTTCTAATTTATCTCCCCTTGAATTTAGAATTTTCCTCAAAAAATACTATTTTTTACTGTGACTTTTTTATTTCTTAAGGGATCAACCTCATATTCCAAATATATGTACCTTAGCATCATCCCCATCATATGTGACAAGGTTCATAACTCTAGCACCAATATTTTCAGATTAATCTCCCCTTGAACTTAGAATTTTCCTTAAAAAATATTTTTTACTGTTACTTATTAATTTCTAAAGGGGTCAATTTCATACTTCAAATATATGTACCTTATCATCATTTACATCTTATGTGACAAGGTTCATAACTCTAGCACCAATATTGCAAGAATTATCTGCCCATAAACTTAGATTTTTTGTTACTAGAAAAATGTTATTTTTTACTATAACTTTTATGGTTTTAAAGGTATCTACCTCAAACTTCAAATTATTATTCCTTATCATGAATTACATTTTATGTGACAATGTTCATAACTCTTGAAGCAATATTAACAGATCTCTTTGAACTTAGGATTTTCTTTAAGAAATATAATAACTTCTTTACTTTTTAAGGTATCTACTTTAAACTTCAAATATATATTTCTTATCATTACACATGTTGTGTGACAAGGTTCATAACTCTAGCGTGACTATTTCTAGAATTATTCTCCTTGATCTTGGAATTTATGTAAACAAATGTTAATTTTTTACTATAACTTAATACATAATTATACATAATTGATTTTTCTTTCATAGTTTTGTCCTCCTTACTGCGACCAGTATTTTATTAGTCGAGCTTCGCTGTCTCCTGTGACAGCTCTTGATTCTTGTCCCTGACACTAAAAATCACATAAGCTCTCTGTTGTGTACTTTTCATTTGAAATAGATAAACTACATCTAATTGTAACAATTGATTAATGGCTAATCAAGTTCAAGGTCAAGTCAATGCAATCTAAATATTAACAGAAGCATATACCCCATCACAGTAGGGACAAAGCTTTAATTTGTTCTTTTAATTAATTGGATAATACACATCACATGTTTACTTTATTCATTTGCATATGCTAAAACTATTCATATACTGTATATATGCAATTTTTGCATATTGAAATTATTCACAAATAATTGATCATGCAAAATTGATTTCTTTTAAGGCAAACTTTCGCCTATCATTTGAAAACTCGTTTTCATGAGACAGCATCTTACATGAATAAGTTTAAACGTTCAGGTACTGAGATTGATTTTTAGCTTGACTATTGGCAGAATAATGGAGCAAATGCAGTCACCCATTTGTCGGCATCGGCGTCCCCGTGGTTAAGTTTTTACGTGTAAGGTGGTATCTCCATAACTACTAAAGGGAATGGATGGAAACTTCACACACTTGTTCTCTGTGATTATCTAACATGATTGGCACAAGTCCCATAACTCTGATTTGCTTTGTTGCATAATTATGCCCCTTTTTTGACTTAGAAATTCTTGGTTAAGCTTTTGCGTGCAAGCTGGTATCTCCATAACTACTGAAGGGAATGAATGGAAACTTCACACACTTGTTCTCTGTGATTATCTATTATGATTGGCACAAGTCCCATAACTCTGATTTGCTTTTTTGCATAATTATGCCCCTTTTTTGACTTAGAAATTCTTGGTTAAGTTTTTGCGGGCAAGCTGGTATCTACATAACTACTGAAGGGAATGGATGGAAACTTCACACACTTGTTCTCTGTGATTATTTAACATGATTGGCACAAGCCCCATAACTATGATTTGCTTTTTTGCATAATTATGCCCCTTTTTTGACTTCAAAATTCTTGGTTAAGTTTTTACGTGCAAGCTGGTATCTGCATAATTACTAAATGGAATGGATTTAAACTTCACATCCCATAATTCTGATTATTTTTTTAGCTCACCTGAGCACGAAGTGCTCAAAGGTGAGCTTTTGTCATCACTTTGGTCCGTCGTGCGTCCTTCAAAAAATGGCGTCAAACTTTTCAAACAACATCTCCTCCTAAACTACATGGCCAATTGCAACCAAACTTTACAGAAATGATCCTTAGGTGGACCCCTTTCAAAGTTGTTCAAAAATTTAAATTCCATTAAAAACTCTGGTTGCCATGGCAACCAATAAGAAAAACTTAAAAAATCTTCTTCTAAAAAACCGTAAGAGCTAGAGCTTAGATATTTGGCATGAAACATCTTCTGATGAGTGCCTACCAAGTTTGTTCAAATCAAAGCCCTAGGGTCAAAATTGGCCCCGCCCCAGGGGGTCATTGATTTTCCCTATATGCATATAGTAAAAACTTAAAAAATCTTCTTTTAAAGAACTCAAAGAGCTAGAGCTAAGATATTTAGCATGAAACATGTTCTAATAGGTGTCTACCAAGTTTGTTCAAATAAAAGCCCTGGGGTCAAAATTGGCTCCGCCCCGGGGGTCATTGATTTTCCTTATATGTGTATAGCAAAAACTTAAAAAAATCTTCTTTAAAAAAACCAAATAGCTGGAGTTTAGCTATTATGCATGAAACATCT